CAGCACCCGTTTTACAAATTGTAATACGCTACGTAATAACATAGGCAATCTAGCAATTTATAAAATCTTAAATTCACATATCACATACTATATGTATTGTGAATAATAGTCATTTTTATTGACCTAAGTTATTTAAAATGGTAGATAACTTGAGGAAGTAAAATCAAGAAATAACTTAGGTAAGTAAATTAGTATATAAGTAAACAAATTAAAGACTGTTAAAATAAATTTAAAATCAAGAAATTAACTAACTAAATCAATAAATGAATATGAAATAATCGAGTACACAAGACACACAATAACACAACCGTAATTGCTAAAAGCCCAAAGTTGATTAACAATTCAGGAAAATTGAAATTATACTTTTTGGAATCAAAGAAATAATAACTCGCTGCTCCCCCTGCCGGGCTGAATTGCTGAAAAGAGCAGGCCCGCAAGGGAGAAACAATTTAGGTCTTCTCAAATTTATATCATAGGCTTTAGAGCCCAATTAGAAAGTTAGGTATGCCCGTTTGCACGCAACAATCAGGGGTCTTGCGATGCCGTTTTTTACCATATCACTTAACTTAACCAAACAATGCCGTTTGGATTAAGTCACAAACAGATCAGCCGGAAATGACAGAGGCACAGAGCATCGTAGCAGAGCGAAATCGCTAAACAGCAGAAGAAAACGGGAGAGGAAGATAGAAGACGACCCGGGGCGGCAAATAATTTACACCTATATATACCTTAAACACTCCGGCGAAGGGGTGGCGCCAGCACCGGCTCGCCCACCCCTGGTTCCGCCACTGGTTAGCCCATAAGTTAGAGTTAGTAAAGAAAGGTCTAGAGTACTCTTTAGTTAATGTACTTATTAAATGATTCTAGAATATTCCTAAGCTAGAATCCTATGGAATAGTGTAGAATGTTAAAGACATAGGAGTGCCTAGAAGGGTCCTAAGAAACCTATAAATAGAGCACTCTTCACTCATTTGTAATATAAGCCAAAGCTCCAAATCAATAAAAGTTTCAAGTTCTTCCAAAATCATCTCTCTCTAAAATTCTCTCTTCCACACACAATAACCTAAATACAATACTCATAAACTCCTTTATTCCAACAGGAAACCCTTTACAATTCGACAATAAAATTATAAAGAAAGGGAAATCTTTTTATAGGGATAAGTCTAACTTCATAGAATGTAGCTTTACTCACTGTCAAGTTAAACCAACCTATGGTTTATCCTCCAAAGGATTGAGAATATGATGGTCCAGATCCTTCAAGTTGCTCCTATTTAACTAATTCCGATCTATATGATGGGTACTTAATCAATCCATCGGGTCATATCTATGCAAGCTATCGTTTATCGAGTTCACCAGATACCAAAAATTTCCTTCTCCTATTGGTGATAAAAACAGATCCAAAAGCTAAGGAAAAAGCTAAAAAAAAACTGTGTGAGACTATCAGTTGTCTCCAGCGCCAGGCCTTTCAAATCAACAGTCAATTTCGTGAATTCATTCTTCATCATAATATGGATGCAATGGTCATCAAAGGTTTCTTGCTGCGGGAATTTCTTTCCAACATCTAAATGAATGATGTAACCAATTTGCTTAGAGAGTGTTGCATGGAATGTGAGAAGATTCATCCAATCTATAAGTTTAGCAAATTATTAGAAATCTTGTCAAAGAACGTTCAAGAGTCTCGTTATGAATAAGCTATTATTGATATGTCTAAGCTGGGTACAGTTGAGTCATTCAAACTACACACCAGAGAGATAAGGGATAATCTTCATTAAGAAATTATAAGAGCTTTATTAACTTGCAACTAAAATAAACCTAAATGAGCATCATAGTAAGTCCAGTTTCCCTAGTATTTCTTCACTTAGGTTTACAGATGATAAAATATGATGAAGATTATGCATATGTCTATCCTCTAATTCTAAAATCAGAACAATGAAATGGAAAACCATACATATATACTCCTCAGCGCTTTGAAAATAAAGAAAAACAACTCTTTTTAGATGTTGGTGCCGGTAACTTCTCACAGTAAAATTACAGCCTTACCAGCATCGCAGGGTAAAAAGGGTTCGATTTATATTTCAATGGGTTGAGAGATGTATTTATAATGACCCAGTGCTACGGGCCGCTTGTGTGCAAGATCTCGTCACAGGCCATCGGGTGAGTGGGAGAGTAGACTGAGCTTTGGAAGGGTTGGCTATGTTTACTGTTTGGCAGAAAACTGGGAAGAATATAATTATGCAAACTTTTATCACAAGTTGGAATTTTTTATTGAGAATTCCAGAAACTCCCTTAGACTTTTCTTGCTAAAAACTTGCATACCTTTTCCCTGCATTCAACTGGCCATTAAATAGGCTTTACAGAGTTTGGAAAATAAAATAAAGAAAATAACTTAAAAGAAAACAATAATTCAAAGATTGCAATCAGAAAATAATATCTCAGATCTCTCAGGATCTCAAATCCCTGACTGTGACATGTCAATCAGATTTGTCTGATTTATTTGTCTCCCAGATTTGTTTGATTTTATATGTCTTCCAAATCAGTCAGATTTGTTTGTGTTATTTGCTGATTTTTATCTTTCTTTCTTTTACGGTGATATTGACGCCCTATGAATGCATCACTCAGCTTAAGGGCCTGGTTGTAGAATCGCTAAAAGTCTAAGGGCGTATTTACTCCTATCCTCTATAATAATTTCAGTAATATTTGAAAGAATTAGGGTCAGAAACAATTATGTGGATGTGATTTACGTTATGAAACTGCAGGAGACACTCTAAATTAAAATAAGTCAATAGTTTTGAACTTTTGAAATTAGCTTCTGTGATTAATAACATTGTTAGTGGCAACCATATTAATAATAGACAATCACTTTGTAAGAATTTGCAGGTAGCAAACTTTATCTAGTGAATGTGTGCCTATGAAAATGATCAGAAAATGTAATATTTGTATAAAAAAGGTATGATTAAAATTAACATATAATCTGTCACCAATTTTTTAAAATAATGTTGTTGTTGGTGTAGATGTTTTTAAGAAGAATGAGTTATAGAACCAGTTTTGTAATTGTGACTTATAAGTTACGAAACCGCAAATGATTTTCTTAGTTATATGTTGATTCGATAATTAGAAACTCAATATAGTGAAAATGTGCAATGGTGACCAACTCATATGTTACTTGTTGAATTATTGGTCTAGAAAACACAGATGGTATGTTAGAGTCCCACACCGGAAATATTTGAATCAACGAAGTGCTATATTAAGACATGAGCTACTCCTCCTATCAGGTTGACCTTTTAAGATGGAACTCCAAAATCTTAACATGGTATCAGAGCCAAATCGATCCATGGTGTGGGGCCCCCTTATGAAAAATGATGACACGATTATAAAAAATGACAACGACGAACCGACGAAAAAAAATGAAAGATGGCACGATCCAGACGAAGTGTCTGGTCGTGAGGAGGGGTGTTAGAGTCCCACACCGGAAATATTTGAATCAACGAAGTGCTATATTAAGACATGAGCTACTCCTCCTATCAAGTTGACCTTTTAGGATGGAACCCCAAAATCTTAACATGGTAGCAGTATTTTTCTTACTTGAAGATATATTGTATTAATGCAAAAGCAGTAATGCCGGTGTTAATTAAAGATCCAGTGAAACATGCAAGTTTCTTTTTATCAACAAATAGGGAGACAAAAATTCTGAAATGTTAGTTGCACTCTTTAATTTCTGATTTGGTTGCTTTCTTGCTTAAAAAAACATACTCTGTATAACTGTATTACTGAGGTTTGAGGTATCAACTTTGACGCTATTATGTACTTTGATGATATTATGTAAATGACACTATGCCTTTGTTGTAAAAGTTGTTCTTTTAGCTTAACACATAAACTCACATAAATTTGTTGTTAAAACAAATAGACAGTAAAAGCCTACATTCAAAACATCTGTACGCACTAAATTACTCTTGAATAGAAATAGAAAGTAGTTAAAACACATAGAATAGTGGCTGGTTATACTTTTTTTGGAGCATTATTGTGCTTAATCACCAAGTCTACAAGAAATATGGCTCATATACAGTCCACATACAGTATAGTTCCTCTGTATTTTTTCAAATTCAGCAGATATAAAGCGGAATAACAACAAATTGTTAACATTCTATTAGAAAAAGCAGAAAAGTGCATGTCTTTTTAATGTTATTTTAAGCATGGCTAGTTTTGAAAAGGTTAAATGAAGTCCATGGAAAGTGCAGTTTGGTTGGGATGTTTTGCCGACTGTTTTATTCTTTTAGAAATTGAAGATATGTGATGTAGTTTGGATGTCATATATGCGCTATTTAGTTCTCCGCAGAACACTTATGAAGCCAATCTACAAAGAAATTTGTTTGGATATAAACGAATGATTAATGATTAACTAATAAGTGTTGTGTAACACCGTCCCCAAGTATATTTAATTTTAAGTAAATTATGTATTGAACCTTATGAAATGGTTAATGAATTTACGAGGTTGTAAATTTTTGGTTAATTCTTTTGCGTGAATAGTAAATTGCACGTGGGGCCCACACCGGGGGCGGGGACCCCCCGGTATTCCCGAGACCACATATTTTATTAATCTTGGTATAGATAATAGTTATATGGTGGTGGACATTCATGTTGGGCCATAAGAAAGGCATTGGGTTGACCGATTGGTCAAACAGGGCCCAATTACCGGTATTGGTAATTTATCAGAGAACAGCCCGCAATGGATTTCGGAGACTTCTAAATTAAAGTTGGGGAATGTATAATCTTTCTAAAGGCCCATTATGATGGGAAGTATTATATTTTATTTGACCCGATAAAATAAAATATAACTAGAACAGTCCGAAAAATACAACTTTCAGGCCGAAAGTACAAATCGGGACAAGTTGGGATGACCTTCCACATGAGTGGGGCCACCCCACGTTTTCGTGTGCTAAATGGTTTACTTGGGGAGTGCATAGCATGGAGGAGTGGTGTAAATTGAGTGAGAGTGATTGGTGGGTATGGGAATGACCTTGGGTGGACCTCCCCTCTCAATTATCTCACAATTGAGACAAAAGAAACACATCACCTCCCACCCCAATCAAGTAGTTCGGCCAGCACCAAGGAGGAAGGGAAAGAAGGCTCTGAAACTTCATCTCCCATAGCCAAAATTCGAGCTCAAGTTTGAGTGCTCAAAGGAGGAAGATTAGAGAGGGAAAAAGTTGGGAAAAGTGTGAATAATTAAGGTAATGACCTTATTATGACCTTTCCTCTGTTTTTTCCTTTACAATATGGGATATATATCATATTAAGGACCCTTAGTATGGTTTCACATGTTATAAGTATGGGTTTATGGGTTGGAAGGCGGTTCTATGTCCAAGAACGGACTTAGGAGCCAAAACAACCGGTTCGCCGAAAAATAACCTTTTTGAGGTTATTTGTATTAAGGGAAAAAGTGCAAATAGACCCATGTACTAACAAAAAAAGATCAAATAAACCCTTATTTAGGAGGCTTTTTCCGGCCATCGCCATTTGGGGTGGTTCCCATTGGAATTTTTTGATAAATTTTTTGAGCATCTTATTCAATAAGTCTAGTTTAGTCATACCAAATTTCAGCTAAAACTTCAATCGGGAAGACATTCAAACAAATTCTTGAAAATAACTGTGCAGTTAGAAGTGCAGTTATCTTCAAGAATTCATTTGAATGCCTTCCCGATTGAAGTTTTAGCTAAAATTTAGTGTGACTAAACTAGACTTGATGAATAAGATGCTCAAAAAATTTCATCAAAAAATTCCACCGGGAACCACCCCAAATGACGACGGCCGGACAGAGTCTCCTAAATAAGGGCTTATTTGACCTTTTTTGGTTAGTACATGGGCCTATTTGCACCTTTTCCCTTGTATTAATATGAGTTTTATGATTATAAAACCTTATTAGAAACTTGATTAAGGTATTTCAAGAGCTTTCACAAAGTTGAAAGAGTCGCCGGAGTTGTCACCGGAGTTCGTTAAAAGTCGCCGGAGTTTCGCCAGAGTTCAACCAAGGAGGGTAGGACTTCATAGCGCTAATTCGAGGTGAGTGGACGGCTTAATGTCTTATAACTCTTGGGTTAAGTATGAGATTACCTAAATAAATGTTATAAGTATTCATAATGATGTTTAAAAGAGTTTAAGCATGTGATTAGCCAAGGTGATTAGGCTTATGTGAATGAAACTATATGATTATGCATATGAAAAGTAGAAAATGTATATAAAAACATATATGATGTTTTGGATGGCCAAAACGGCATTTATTGGTTGTTTTAGACATGATATAGGTTGTATAAAAATTTCGGATCAAACAGATCACGTTTCGGGGGTCAACTCGGGGGGTCAACGGGCAGAGAGATTGTAGTAGATCAGAATTCAGAACATGGAAGAATATATACTCTACTTGAGCGGCCTTTCTCGATATGATAACTGCAAAAATACACTCTGTTAGCTATTTAAACGAAAAAGAACCTTAACGGAAAATGACAAAAATAGTACATCTATACCCAACCTTAACTGCGTTGTTGACTTAACTGCTAACATTTGAGTCATTTGAGACATTTGTTCTATAAATGATACGGAGTACGACATTGTGTAACTTTTGTGGCTGCCAATGAATGACCTTTTAAGTGTGATATCCCTAGCTAACACTTTTGAGGAGGGTGCAGAGTTAAAATTGTGTTTACATTAAGGAAGAAATACAGATTAACTTATAACTATTGCAAAGATTGATGCAGTTAATGTTATGAACTATCATTGAGACTTTTTAGCGATCACTTCGTAAGCCTGAACAATCTTTTTTAGATACGTAGCAACAAGATACCTCCTTTTTTAATTCCTGGAGTTCTTCTGTACATTGAATCAAAATAAGCGTCAATAGAAGTGAACCTCTCCCAATATCCCAACTCTATCTTACATATATGAAATCCCCACTGTAGTTGTAGTCTGTAGATGAATATAATTTGAAATTAGGGAACTAAAAGGAGCAGTTGATGCGCAGTTTTTTCAAAGGCAACAAAGATATAATGAAATGGGGAGTAATGCATTAGAAGAAGCAAATGAAGTAAAACTTGCGTGATAAGAGTAGCTGTTGGTGGTGCAGAAAAAAATGGAACGGCCAGAAGCATATGCAACGCTCTCTCTTGAAGTTATACTCCGTATGTAATAATCTTCCTGGACGGTCGCCGACGGTTGATGGAGGTAGGGGTGGAAAAAACCGAACGGAACCCGGAAACCGACCCTGGACCGATCCGAATTATGATCCCGGTCCGGGTTTTTCTTTTTAACCAGCCCGAATTAAAAAAAAACCCAGACCGAAACCGAAATTTCGGGCCCCATTAACGGGCCTTAAAATATATAACCCGGCCCGGACCGATAAAAACTCGAAACAATTAGCTTTAATATAAAATTAATATAATACTCGTATATGAATATAAATTTATAAATATTTCCTAATATATGATTATAATCACTGTGGATAAAAAAATAATTCAGTAACTTGTAGTGACTACAAATATGTTCAATTTTTTTAGCGTAATGACCATGAAAATATATTTATAGCAACTCTAGTCACATTTTTATATATAAATTGTATTTCATAAAATTTTTAAGAAACCTATATTATTTATTTATATGTATCTTAAATAAAATATTAAGATAATTATCTTTTTTGGATTTGAATTGTTGGTGATTTTGGAGACTAATATGTTTATTATTATTATTTGCGGTTTGTATTTTTGATTAATTTTATTTGAAAATAGGTGTTAAAATATAAAGGAACGATGACATATTTCACGTTCGGGCTTTAACCGGCCCAACCCGAACCCGGACCAAACCGGGGCTACCAAAAACCCGACTCGGACCGAATATTATGGGCTTTTTCCGGTCCCTAATTTTCATAACCCCATACCTTTCGGATAATTTCCGGGTTTAGCAAAAACCCGACCCAGACCGGACCGATCCCACCCCTAGATGGAGGTTCGATAACCGCAGAGCTATGCCGAAGAGGCGTATGTGCTTGGAGAGGTAAGTGAATAACATCGTTAAATTAAAATGTTAGATTTGGACGGAAAAAGGACTATCTAAGCAGAGATATAAAGATACATCACTGGCACGCACTCACGTAGTGTAATGTATAGCTAAGGTTAGATTTAATAAGGATGTTTTCTTTTGGACGATTTTCAGTCCTACACCAGACCAGACCAGACTTAAACAAACCAAACCAGACCAGACTAGAATTAAACAGACCAGACCAGACCAGACCTGGACAGTTATAAAATACAAAGAGACCAGACGTTTACCAGACCAGACCAGACCAGTTCAGACCAGACCATACCAGACCAGACCAGACCAGACCAGACCAGACCAGACCAGACCAGATCAGACCAGACCAGCAAATTTCAGTCCAAAAGAAAACAGCCTAACTCTGTGAAACGAGATCTGATCTTTGGTAAAGAGACGGAGGTTATACGGGTTTTTGTTTCCTTCCCAATAAATAAAACGGATGAGTCAGCAAGTTTCTCAGGCTTTCTACAATGGGAAACTCACGTTGACAGTGTGCAATTTTTTTTGACAGCTCAGCAAGAGACTACCTCAGATCGTATACCGTGGTATCACCCCACGGTGAGCACCGTACTCCCACACCTAAAACGACGTAGTTTCGCACAAATTTTTTTTAAAAAAATCGCGTGAACAGTAACATGTGAACAGTACATGCGTGAATAGTAACTGTGTTTTTTTATTTTCATCCCAGTAGCATGAACGATGTAACTTGTGCATAATTAGATGTAACTCGCGTTGCTACAAATGTAACTTCAGTTAACAACAAATGTAAGTTGTGACCTGAAATATAACTCAAGATTAATGAAAAATGAGTCTAACAGTCCAATTATTTTACATAAATAGCGCATATGTTTTGTTTTTAATATTAGGGCCATTAAAAATGTTTTTTAATAAGAAATTCTTTTTTGATTGAATAACAGATGTTTATTTTGTTGTGTAACTCGTATTGTTTTGTGATGTAACTCGCAGTATATCAAATGTAAATCAAGTGTGACTAAGATGTAACTTATTGAAAAAAATTGAAATGTAACTCACATTAAAAGATATGTAACTTCAGATAAACCGAAATGTAAATCTCTTTGATAAAAATGTAACTTTTTTAAGCCTATGTAAATATATGTTTGAAGAGAGCACTTGATCCAAATCTACGTTTGAGGACTTCAAATTGTGTTTCAATAGCTTGGATAGGCCAAGGATGGCTATCCCGATGCAAAAACCCACTCCCTGCTTTAGGAGCCAGAAGCTAAAATCCTCATCCCCTTGTCAGGCAGTCACTCCCAGTCAGGCTCCGATGCTGAAATCGATCGACGGTTGGGAGCAGATAGGCAACTTCCAGATGCTTTGTAGTAGAGCTTTCTCTTCCACAATAAGAGGTGTCGATATGCCGAGAAGCTTGCAGAGAAAACATTGATATAGCTTGGTAGGGGATGCTTCTTCGGCTCCAAATCGCACGGCTTTACAAATCAGAAATCGCAGAGCTTTCTAAACGGCGCCGTTTGGGATCGGCACACCGTGCGCACGGTGGGCCGATCCCACGGTATAATTTGCCAAACTACCTGCATTGGAAACAAAAAGAAGTACACGCTGTCTAATGTATTGACGTGGCAAAGCAAACCTAGACTAAAAAGAACCGCATTGCGGTTGCTCTTAAAGTAAAACACTTGGCGGAGAATGTTGTACTAAAAAAAGGCGAGCAAATACTAACTACTCCCCGTATTACGTACAAATTATTGAAAATATTTAAATGGGTAGTTTTGTCTAAGTAAGGTTAGATTAAGTAATTCTGTGGGTGCCCCCTTTTTTTCAACACGAATTTTTGATCATATTTTTGTCCAATGAAAGATGAGAAGTGAATTTCTGTCATTTTCCCATAATTTTCTCCCTATTTTGGGTCTAACCCTAAATTTTCTATTCACTTAACTAAAATAGCAATACATCTCCACTAAAAAGCCGAATTTACCCCTCTTGACTACTATGGAATATTTTGTGAATGTGCCATAGTTTTGAGGGCTTTTTTATGTTTTACTCCCTCCATCTCATAAAATATCTCAAGTTTAACTGCTTGGTTAGGTTTGTACAAAGAAGAGAGAACTAACAGGAACCATAAATTCTTTACTTAAAAGGAAAAGTGACAAATTCTTCAAAACAGAAAGTCGGCAAATTTTATGGGACGGAGGGAGTATTATTTTCTTACCTTAAGATAGGGCTACGAGAATGCATAAAATATTGAAGTTTTTCTCATACCAGAGGAAGATGATTTTCTATAAACTTCTCTTGATTTAGCCGAGGTAGCTTTCAGAGGCTTAACTGAAAGGCTTGAAAGAGAATGTTGTTTCGGGTAGGATTCTATTGGACTTGTCTTGTATTGCTACGACACTGCGACGTGCAGCTTATTTTTTATGTGAATGGAGATATTTGGAAGTATGGCTCCATTGGCTAGAAAATTTAATCTCATACTGTCTAATAAGGATCATGTTAGACTAAAAATATCATTCTTTAGGTTAATTACAAAAGCCCACATTGTATCCCTCAATGATCATCAAATCCTTGTATTAATTCCTAGTTTTTATACTATCCTGCTATTTTCATGTTTTTGAAGAAGGCTGACCATTCCTTTTAACCAGTGGTGTTTAGGTATTTTTTGACATTGTTTTTGTATTAGATTACATTTGAATATTTTATATTGTGCTTAATATAGACAATAGATGCTAATTTCTAAGCTAAGGCTCAAGATGAATCTCTACACCAACTAAGTGTTTAAATTAAAAATTGAAGTTCTGGCCAATAAATTGCCACTTATCTTTTACGTTTTAATTATTTATGACTATGATGTATACCATAAAAGTATGTTAAACTTAAGTTATACTTGTAATAACATTGTGGTACAAACTCTGAACACTAAAGAATAAATATACAAGTACTCATAATAGGAATATATTCAACCTTGTATGGTGTGTGTTTGTTGTTTTGATATTCAATGAGATTTTGGTAGATGAATGTAAGCTGTCATGAGACTTACACGTAACAAAAATCATGTCCTTGTTGCCTAAACCATGTCATAACCGTATATATATTAGCGACATCATACTCATAATAATTTGTAAGGAATTAGTACTAAACTGTAGTAAAACGTGTAGGTGAATTTTGATGTCTTGATAGTTGTTATTCTTATTCATAATTCTAGATCGATTTAATCAATAATCAACGAGGTTTCATAGCATTTGTATATTTTGAACTAATATCTCAAACTTTATAATTTTTTTTTTATCATCAAACGGGCCTCTATTCATATCAAAAGATTCAGGATCATTACATCAAGCAAAAGGAAAATAAAACTGACACCAACTGAAACTTCAACAACTACGACGGTAACCCTATGATGAGACTTTGAGACGGTCACCCCTGAGAGAACAACACGAATCGCTAACCATGTAGTGGGCTTGACACAGCCAAACATATTCCTATAGATCCAACCATACTCAATGACATAAAGAGAGGCAAAAAACTCAAACAAACTGTCAAAACCAACAACAAAAGTGGACACAAGAAAACAAATAACAAACAGATAAAAATTACAAGAAAAGCGTTCACGAACTCTAGCACCTCGTACATCCCATGGTGGTGGTTCAGGAGGAGGTCTTACCACCGGTACCATGCTAATTGATACTCCGTGACCTTTGTCTGCCAAAGGCCATGCATCAATCCTCCGTCCCTGCATAACCAAACTCATCTCTACTTCATGCAACCAGAGTAAACGGATAGGCGGCGCCGATCTTCTCCAACGACGACAGCAATACATCATCCTCGAACCTTGACCACAACGCCGATCTCCTCGAGCCATGACAGCAAATCCGCCCTTCGAGTATGAAGCACAAACAACAACAGCCGTCCTTCGATTAAAATCGAAGACGGAAATAGCGGTCGTCCTTCGATTAAAATCGAAGCCGGAAAAAGCGGCAGTCCTTCGATTAAAATCGAAGACGGAAAAAAACTCCAAACGGCCGAAGCCCTAGAGAGAAGCGAGAGACGATCGAACTTTTTTTAATACTTCGTATCCAAACTTTATAATTATAAATGTTTGTCTACAGACTATCCCGGTATTTTACAAGTTTAGCTCTATCATGAAGAGAATGAGTCAGGAAAAAGTGACTAAATCGTCAAAAATAACAAAAGTGCGAACTAAAAGTGCTAAATTCACTTCAGATTTGCGTTTTAAAAATCGAATGATCTGAAGGAACCAATTTAATCGAAGAATCAGCAAAACTAATAAAATGTCACAATTTTAAACCATGTTTATGTTTTTAATTGCTTTCTCAATTTTCTCTACATTTTGTTAAGGTAGAACTTGACACTTAACTGACTTAAGCGTTTTGGGATTCAAATATTTAAATAATACCGTTGTGAAACAAATTTTAAGTATTTACTTAAAATTGATTGCAAATAATAATATATGAAAATATTGGGTGCAATCTCTAAATATGAATCATCTGATTCTTCACTTGCAATTTGAAGTAATATAATTAAAGAATTTAATTTAAAATTAAATCTCTAATCCTTCAAATATTCGAACGTTCTTCAAATCTTCGAATCTTCGTTCTTGAGATCTTCGAATCTTCATTCTTCGGATCTTCAAATCTTCTTGAATAAAAAATTCAGATTGAATGGCCTCCGGTTTTCAAGTGGCTTGATCTTCAACAAAAGGGTCGTTTTATGGCTTAATCTTCTGTTTAAGGGCCTCCCGGGATATATGGCTTGATCTTCAATTGAATTTTGATTCAATCTTCATATGAATATCTTCAAATCTTCAAAGATTCGTTCTTCATATCTTCGAATCTTCAAAGATTCGTTCTTCATATCTTCGAATCTTCAAAGCTTCGTTCTTCAGATCTTCGAATCTTCAAGCTTCGTTCTTCAGATCTTCGAACGTTCTTCAACTTTTGGCTTTGTTTGATCAAGAATAGATGAAAATCACAAAGGATTAATCATATATTCTTGACAAAAACGTGGCTTGATATCTTCCGATGTTTCGGAATCCTTCAGAGCCTTTCGGGAGTTCTTCAGAGCTTTTCTGCAGCGTTTCTTCGACTGAAAATTCTCTCTCCTCCTCTCTCAACTGAGACCCCTATTTATAGGTGTGGAGGGGGTGAAAATATGGCTTTAGGGTTCCATAATTCGTCCATACCTCATGGGACTCAATTAAAATGGGCTTTGGGCTCCATTTGCTTGTATTTTAATAGCCAGAAAAGTCAGCACTTATAGAATGTATCTGGCCAGCTTTTTTAACAAGGTTCTTGGCCATTTCCCATGCATATGGACCAATCTCTTAACCAAATTCATTGCTCTCTATCAATTGGATCATACCTCTTATTCATTGGGCTACTATTTCATATTGGACTCAAAATACAGAAATCAATAGGATCGGTTCATTTTGTTAAAGAATCGACTTATAATTAAATTAATTGGATATTTTAAATGATCCAAATTAATTTAATCACTCAATTTTGTCTGAACGGATCCATATTAATACTTTCCTTTTAATACGAGTATTCCAGTAGAATAGGACGATGGCCCAATTGCATTCGAAAGAAGCCCAACAGTACAGATAATAGTCCGGTAGCATTTACATAAGTTTAATAATATTATAGATTATCATAGAATAATAAGTCCAAAATATTAAATAATATTCAATATCCACAACCGTATTCAAATTCAAATATTAATTTCGTAATTGGAAATTACCAACTTTAAATTATTTGAGAAATAAAAAGTAAAAATTGTGAAATTTAATTCTGTTGAGGATTATAAACAAAAAAAATGCATGTCATCCCTCAATGGGAGTACCGAAACTAAACTAAAAATGTGGAGTGAGGAATTCCTCTTTTATCGGTCACGTTTGGTACAGTAGTACAGTCCCTCAAGAGAGAATGTATTTAAATCATCCCTGAATAATCACCCGCATTCTCATTCATTTCTCCTGGGAACAATTCTCGCAGAAGACCGGGAGAAATTTCTCGTCTTGTAAATAAATAAATATAATAAAAACTCGAGATGGGTCAGGAAAATTTCGCCGTTTATGTAATTGTGATGATATTGGCCCTGTTCCAGACCCGGATCGAGTCCCTCCGTTTCGATGTGGTATCTGGTCACACCAAATGCATAGCGGAGGATATAAAGAGCAGCGTCATGTCCGTCGGCAAGTATTACATTGTCAACCCCGACGATGCCCTCCCTTTGCCCGACTCTCATAAACTCACCGTTCGGGTCAGTTATCTTCCATTCAATGTCTCCAATTTCATTTTTCCTAATCAATATATTCCTGCATTTATTTGAAATGATGAAAGAAAAAGATCTCCATGGATTCATGCATATTCCTCCATAGCGTGACCCATTCAAAATTTGGTATAAAACTATAAATCTTACTTGGCATTTTTAGGTTCTAAATTTTTGTATAGAAATTTATTTGAAAATTTTTCTTTTTTCTAATGAAAAAAATTATTTGAAGAAATTGTGTCACCGCCTCAGCCACATTCCAGCACTGCCACCTCCAATCGTATTAAAAACGCCAACTTCTAAAAATAAGATGGAGGTTTGAGAGCATGCTTTCACATTTCCAAATAGTAATAATGTCATTGTTCCAAGATAAAGGTGACATTTTTTTATACAAAATGGCATTCTTCCGGCAATCGGAGTTGGTAGCTGGGAGGCGACAAAGGATATATTTTTTTTTATATTTTTTATTTTATTTTAAGTTTTTATATTCTTATGTATTTTATTTATTCTATTTTTTGTGTCTATTATAAATCTATAAATATTTATATTACTTTTATGTTTTTACTAAAAAATAAACAACAATTTGTTGTAATAAAATAAGTCATATTGAGTTTATAGGATGATGAAACATAAATTATTCCTATTTAGGGAATAAAAAAGTACTCCCTCCGTCCCGCAATGAAGTTCCCGATTTGGCCTACGCACATATTTATGTAAGGTAGAGTTTTATTTTGACTTCCCAAGTTTACCCTTACTTTATGTGAAATCAAGCAAAAAGTGGGTAAAAAGTAAGAGTGGTTGTGACGTTTGGGATAAAAGTGGTTTCCTTTTATGGAAATGAGAACTTCTTTTTGGGACATCCATAAAAGGAAAGTTGGAACTTCTTTACGGGACGGAGGTAGTATAATCTTATTGTTCTATTTTGAAATCATTTTACTCCTATTTGGGACTATTACCTCTTATATAAAAAACTAGTTTTATGTGATGTTTGTTAAATGCAGAGAAATTGAAGTAACATAGTAATTGAAGATTAAAGTAAACAAATAGTTTATGAAAAAACTTCAGAACATCATTTCACTATTATAATTGAAAAAATATAATAAGGAAAATGCTTTAGGTACACGTTTTGTGTACACGTTTGGTGTACACATGTCTGTCCTTCACAATTTGTCTGTGAAGGACAGACATGTGTACACCAAACGTGTACACAAAACGTGTACCTCTAGCAAGACCCATATAATAAAGGAAAAGACACAAAGAGTTGAAGCATGGCTTTTCCTTTCATTAATTAGAGGCTTGAATGGTTCTTTTTTGTTGTTGTGGTGATGGGTATAGGTGACATCTCCACATGGAAATAACTATCACTATGGAAACCAAGTGACAGAAGGCAACTTTGCATATCACACGGCGGAAGCTGGGGATTACATGGCTTGTTTCTTTGCCGTTGACCACCTGCCCTCTGCTACATTGACCATTGACTTTGATTGGAAATCAGGCGTCTCCACCAAGGATTGGACTAGTCTTGCTAAGAAAGGCTCCATTGAAGTAAGCTTTCTCATCTTTATTGAAGTAACCCTTATTCACTAATCACTTCTTCTTATGAGAACAATTCATATGGCCAAAAACGGATTTTATGATCCAACTTTTATACAAGCTTCATGAACAACTCTTTTGTCCATCTCTCTATGTAAGTAAACATTTTTGCTGATCTCAAATTATGAGTTATGTTAGTGAATATAACACACACTCATCCAGGCAAATCACTAGCTTTTGGCTTTTGCAGTTTTGCCCTTCAACTAGTTTATTTGTAACGCTTAGACAACATCTACATTTGGAAACTGGAATGTGGGGAAATGATTGGGACTTGGGCGTAAGGAAAAAAAAAGCTAAGCGAAGTAGCTTCCCCTATGTTTGTTTTACTTTGTACAGTTTGAAGAAAAATAAAAGTTAAAAATACATTTCCAAATATTTAGAGCCCGTTTGGTAGCACGAAAATCGACTATTTTGGCTGATTCTGCTGAAATTTATGAAGTTCTGGTTGAAGCGGCTGCATTGGCTGTTTTGGCTTAATTTTTGTTACAAATGTTAGAATTCTTCAGTCTTAAAAAATCCAAATACGTAAAGAAACTTATCAAACATGTTTTAATATCACTTGAACACCCATCACTTTTTTATATTTCAAGAAACTTAAATGATAGCAGTCGACAATTGTGGGAAGAATAGAACAACCATTTAACAACTTTGGAAACTGTGATTCAAAATCTATGTAATTTCTCAGATGGTGAGTTTGAGTACGATAAGTGATTCCATTATAGCCTCCGACAGTTGGGAAATTTATGTGTAATACAAAGCATCATTATATGCCTGCCTGGGCCGCTTGGCCAACCAGAAACACCACATCCTGTGGCGTGTTCATTGATTCAGACAGATTTCATATTTCATGCTTTGCTTTACTCCCCCAGGCAATGGAATTGGAGTTGAAGAGAATGTATGAAACTGTCAACTCCATCCACAGCGAGATGTTTTATCTACGTGAAAGGTAAGTATGTCAACATCCAGACTTGATCCATTTATAATTATAAATTTATAACAATGATGTATTGGCTCAATATGTTGGATCTCATTTTGATAATCTTTCTATATCCAAACCTTCTCTAAGAAGTTTACATTTTATGTATGTTGTGTATCATTGTTACTATTGCATGCAGAGAAGAAGAAATGCAGGAGCTTAACCGAACAACCGACTCCCAGATGGGGTGGCTGAGCGCTGTCTCGCTATTGATATGCCTCTCTGTGTCTGGAATCCAAATGTGGTACTTGAAAACCTTTTTCGAAAAGAAGAAGCTTATCTAATCTTATTTTTTGTTTTGTAGGATGTACAATACAAGTCATTTTTTGATCCATACCCATGTAATTCACATATACTCACTACATACATTGTATATTATTGCTATTATTATAGGGTTTTTTTTCTCACAAATACTACTTTCGAATTGTATCTAAAAAAATTAATGATAAACACAAAAACAAAAACAATAAAAAACAAAAAAATGAGATGGGAGTGGATGGAGTACTGGAAATCTTTACTCAAAGCATAAGCAGGAAAGATTGAATTGGGATAACTTTTCCCAAACTTTCAGCAGTTGTCTAAACAATTTGTAGTTATGCACAATTGAATTGAACTCCTGAGATTGCCTGAAGACAAAACTCTTATATCTTGGTGAGAAATCTTAGCTGGGTTGTCGTCATGAAGAAAAGATGCTCCAATGATGATCTGATGGCAGATTTCCTTTTATTTTTTCAAGTCGTTTCAGAATCTCCAGGAAAGATGGTCTCTGATTCATGTCTGCTGCCCAGCACTGCTCTACCAACCTGCATGCATTATTTGGTTCCAACCATAACAAATATACGAATGATTTAGAACCCCATGCAGATCAAGACAGACAACATCGGTTTTTAAGGTTCAACTTGTGCTATTAATTGAAATGACTTACTCTTTCAGCTCGGGTGTAATTCCTTTTCCCCTAAATATGGGCCGGTGCCCTTCAGCTGCATATTTCGCAGCGTCGTATGGTGCATGGCCTGACAATGGCGGATCACCTTCTAACATCTGATGATCCAATTCCACAACTCAATTCATTAATGAGATTACTATTTGTATGCTTTCGATTATCTGAGGTGAGAAAAAGCATAATTACCTCATATAGTATCATTGCAAAGGAGTAAACATCGACCTTCTTGTCATATCTCCGGTGCTTGAAAACTTCAGGGGCCATATAGCGATCTTCAAAAAATAGATGATAATAATAGAGAACATATATTAAAAGGTCTCATACACCCTCAGCCAGCCAGCCGTGTTAGTAGACAGAAAAGAACTTACAGCTCCCAGTTTCTCCTGTCATTTTATAGACATCATGAGAATTCTGAACCTTTATGAGCTTGCTTAATCCAAAATCTCCAACTTTCAGATGATCTGCACTCGAGTTAACCAGAAGCACGTTCCTGGAAAGACAATTAAGATTAAAATATTAGCAACAAATGAGAAGAATCTGCTTTTGGTCTTTCATTGTCACACAGACCTGCCTTTGCGAAATGGTTGCAACTTGCAACCATGGATGACACTTTAATAGAGTGTCAAGTTGGGGTTCTCATTTGAAAATGTGCACATATATTAATAAAACTCGTTTCATTCCCTTTCAAAACCTATGTGCTCATGCATCCAAACACTTTTTGTTAAAAAATCAACCATCAAAAGACCAAAATCCACAACCCTTTTGCAATACAAAGGGCAACTTTTGCACGATGGACTACAATTGCTAAATCTGAATGAAGTGAAGGACCAAAAACACTTCTTTTCTCTAAAACGAAGTTACACATACAAGTTTCAATTTCTGTGGATAAGTCCTGCTAATCCATTCATAAAGTTGGGTAAATTATCAACTTGCCTTGGTTTTAAATCCCTGTGAACAATAACATTTGGCTCATTATGAAGATACGCCATACCCCTGCCAACATGAAAATAGAATAATGGTTAGTAAGCTGCTGATGGTGAATACGGAAATCAAGTAATTAAAAAGGGATATTATATTGAGATTTGAGTTTAAATGACCTAGCGATGTCCATTGCTAAATTGATGGCTGTTAAAGGACTGAGTGCACCCTTTTCCTTCAGATACTGATGAAGATCACCCTGTGGCAACATATAAAGCAAGTTATTCAGCACAGAAAATCCAGACATTTGTGGGGAACTGGGGATATGTGAACATTTTACCCAAGCCAGAAGGAAAAAGATGTAAACTACGTACCCCCCTTAGGTATTCAGTAATTAACATCAAGGGCTTTTTTTCTGTAACAGCTCCAAGAAATTGCACTATATTTGGATGTCGAAGCTTCACCAACAAATTTACCTCATGCCGGAAATCCTGACTGTATACGGATGGAACAAGTAAACATAATTTTCTATTATCCATAGGATTATAGAAATGATGTAATACTAAGACTGGGAGTGGGCATAATATTATGAGCATTCATTTCAGGTAACGCTACATGAAAAATTATGTATAAACCAGCACCTACATGCCAAAGACACTCAGCAATCACACAAATTGAGAAAAAATGCAAAATCTAAAAGCAAGAAATATATGTTTTACAATACTCAAACAAAAAATTCAGATCTTAATCTACAAACCAACACTAACATGCTAAGAAAAAATCCCCCATCAAGAAAATGGAAAACAAATGCAGTCTGAGAGAATTAAATGTATGGTTTTACACTGCTAGAACAAAGAGTAGAGAACTGAGTTGACTCTAGAGTCTTAAAAAAATCATAGTTGCTTAGTGCTTACATCACCAAGCGGTCATCAGAAAGATTTGGTAGGATGCGTTTGATAGCAACAGGCGTTCCACGCCAAGAAGCTCTAAGTATCTCACCAAAGGAGCCCTGTTAGTATAAATAACTATGAGAGGAAGAAAAAGTTTGCAGATGGATACAGAACTAACATACAGCTAGAGTTTTAAAAGAAAAATAGTCAGCATCCTTGGTAAAATGCTGAATATAAAAGCGCAAGCCATTTGGAGGAACAACCCCATGAACACATAAATTATTAAGGACAATTGTATGGCACAGTAGAAGCTAGCAAGTCATCTAGAAAGAAAAGCTAAAGAAATAGAAACATCAGTAACACATTAACATTGTCTTTGCATTTAAGTAGCTTAACGATACCTTTCCAATAATCGATGAGTTTGACAAGTCCAATTCAGTAGGATCAACTTCCCAGTCACACTTATTTGGCAGAGGTGGGGGCACAGCCTTTGGTTCAAAGTGACTTCCAGTTTGCCCCTACAAAATTACCACAAAACTTAGAGCGATTAAAAACAACATAAGTATGAGAGAAGGATTGAATCAAAAATACAAAAGAGATGGACACCATGAGAAACCCATTTCTGCAGAGACCTGTATAACTGTATACAATCTGAAGACTGTACAAGACTGTAAAGTCGTTTACTAAACCAACTTTCATTTCAATTTCAAATGCACTTTAAACTTAAAAAAAAAAAACGTAATATCAATAATTGACTCCTATGTAGAACATGCCCATATTGATTACTAACTGAATAATGATAAGATTAAGTGAGATCTACTCTAAGAAAGAACTTACATACGACAGACCGCCATATGACTTCAATAATTCAATCATGTTGCTTTTATTTGCTCCTTCAGCATCAGCTAAAGGCTGTAATCATAAATGCCTATCAGATAACCAAACTTCTAAGTATGTGATGATATGAAAGATATGCAAAGCACAAACATATGCACATCTAAATGAGAATATGAGATATGTGTTCAATTAACCGGTTAAGCTTAAAGAATGTATCATCTTCTTATCAAGCAACTACACCCAAACCTAGATTATAACACATTCTCTTCTAGGGGTTGTGAAAATACTACCACCTGTTTCTGTGTCAATAAAGATAACTTTAATAAAATGAAATGAAGGTGGAAAGCCCTGGTCGATTTTTTTGTTCCAACGAGACTATCAGGAGACGGCCATTCGTGAGAACCACACATTTCAACAACTGATTTGGCCACAAACAAGATGATTACAGAGGCAGAAGAAATTTAAAATATCTGCTGTATTTCATTCTTGCAGAGTTTCTTTTAAAAGATCGCAAGAAAGCAGAAAACCCTCCAAATTAGCATCATAAGCAAAGAATTATACCGTGGTCACTTTTAGAAAAATCGCAAGAAAACAGAACACACCCAAATTAGCATCATGAGCAAGGAATCGGACCGTATTTTTCCATCGATCTTGAGCATTGACGTCTGCTCCGTACTCTATCAAGCACTTGGCAACATCGACCAAACCGTGGAGAGCAGCGACATGGAGCGGAGTCCGGTTATCGTAATCGCTAGCTTGCACCAGCGTCTTGTCTTCTTCCAGTAGCTTCTTCACGGAGACCACATCGTTCTGGTGGGCGTGCCATAATATAAGCGACGTGCGGCTAACTCTGGACTTGTCCTTCCTTTTCTCAGTCGTTGCCGCTTCTCCTCCGCTCCCGGTGGCGGAATGGTCTGAGCCGCCTTCGCTGCCGCTCATATTTCGAGTCGCGCCGGTTTCGTCTCTCCGTGGCGTAAGCGCGTGAGATTGGACTTGACTCTCTGGCACGTTTCTCTCAACCGAGTAAAACGCTATGCTGACTTCTTGCAGTATTCATATTCTTTATACACTAATTAATTTATACCATGAGTTTATCAGAAAATTAATCCGGTCAAAATGTGGGGTTAATTCATAGGTCAAAAATTTACAGTGACATCTTTTGGCGGGTGAACGTTATAACGGAAAATAAAACGGATATAATAACATCATAAATGCACGAAATTAATAATTGGATTTTATGACAACTCAGTAATTAGTTGGTCTCATTGGGTACAAATCAGTATTTCAAAATTCAAAAGCTTGAGGCGTGATCATCTAGCTCAAGAGTCAGGTAGGAATAGACAAAGTCTAGACGTGGAAATGTATTTTAGATTTTTATTAGCAATTAATAGTACAGATAGTGGCGGACCCACTAAGGGTCCCACGGGTCCCGGGACCCCATGCACTTCCAAAAACGTACCTATATATTATACTTAGGAAAAATTCACATAAATAATCCTAACTATCAACGATCTTCTAATATTAATCCCAAACATATGTAATTCTAAAATAATTTGAACTTTATAGACAACCTTCCCTAATTGATCCATGGTGACCTGCAACTTATACAACCGGTAAGACAAATTAAAAGAAAAACAAAAAGGTTGGGCTATAGGCTTTTCATCTTCGTCCACCCAATTCCAGGCAGCTTGTTCTTTCTTCGTCCACCCTATCTTCTGTTTTTTTTTTCTTCTTTGCTCCCTTCACCCATATCACCCATATGTAAAAATCCTTTTCACCTATATTTCACGCTCAAATAAGCTCCTACGGAGTACAATTTATACTTCATTCTTTCAATTTCATATTTGAAAGATTTGATTTGGTCA